GAGGAACTGTGTATGCAAAAGAGCAGTTAGAGAAGATGTCTTGAGGAGAAATGGGGATGGCAAGGGTTATTTCCTCCCACCGCAGTGTGCAAAACATCATCTAGAGATGCTGAAGCTTTCCAAAGAAGTACAACCTCTGAGTATTGTGGTAGAGTTTTCTGAGACTTGAGTGCAAGGGATTTCCCCTCGTTTTCTTTTTCTCACTCGCTTTTTAATGCAAGAAAAATCTCATCTGTCTTTTACAGCTATCAAAATGTCACCTAGATGGAAAGGGAAACTTGCTCTCAGTGTTAAAGTGCAGATCTCTCTGTGTGTGTGTGTGTGTATGTATATAAGAAGGAAGGGCCAAAGCCTCAAGTAAGAAGTGGTAGATAGATGGGATCAGAGCACGGGACATGGCATTTTACCTGAGAAATCTCCTTTACTGAAGCTAACAGGTACGTTTTCTGCAGGCTGGGAAGGGAATCTTTATCAAGTTTGCAGATACAGTAGAGTCTCGCTTATCCATCCATCGCTCATTCAGCGTTCTGTATTATCCAATGCAGTCTGCCTCCCGCCCGGATCCACAGCTGTTTCAATATATTGAGATGTTTTGGTGCTAAATTTGTAAATACAGTAATTATTGCATAACGTTGATGTATTGAACTGCTTTTTCTGTCAATTTGTTGTAAAACATATTTTGGTACTTAATTTGTAAAATCATAATGTAATTTGACATTTAATAGGCTGTTCCTTAATCCCTTCTTATTATCCAATATTTTTGCATATCCAACATTCTCCTGGCCCGTTTATGTTGGATAAGCGAGGGTAGGTAAAGGTTTTCCCCTGACATTAAGTCCACTTGTGTCCAAATCTGGGGGTTGGAGCTCATCTCCATTTCTAAGCTGAAGAGCCAATGTTGTCCATAGACACCTCCAAGGTCCATGTGGCTGGCATGACTGCATGGAGCACCGTTACCTTCCTGCCAGAACGGTACCTATTGATCTACTCACATTTGCATTTTTTTGAACACCTAGGTTGGCAGAAGCTGGGGCTAACAACAGGCGTTCATGCTGCGGATTCGACAAGCTTAGCAGGTCAGCAGTTTAACCCACTGGATAAGTGAGACTCTACTGTAATGCAAAACTTGGAGGGATAGCCATTAGCCAACACATTGGAATATTGGGACAGAATTTGAAAGAGCTCAGATAAATAATAAATTACCCCCCTTGGATACCAAAGTGCATGGATGCTCAAGTCTCATTCTATACAATGGTGTCCCTTATGTAACACGGGCCTTTTGGACATTTTGATGACTATTTGCAAGCTATTCATGGTTAAATCTATGGATGCAGAATCTGTTGTTTATTGTAAGTTGATGTTAACCCAACAGTGTGATGATTTAGGAAAGGTGTCAATTGGTACATTGGCTGCATTATTAGAGTCATTGTTTACAAATGAAGGGAAGTAGAGACACATGATTACACTTTTAAAATATCTAATAATAATAATAATAATAATAATAATAATAATAATAATAATGAACACACAAATAATGAATACAGAAAATGAACACGTCAAACTCCTCTGGGACTTCCGAATTCAATCTGGCAGAGTTTTGGAGCACAATACTCCTGACCTCACGATGATGTTAAAAAACAAAGTATGGATTGTCAATATGGCAATCCCAAGTGACAGCAGGATTGAAGAAAAACAACTGGAAAAGCTGACACAATATGAATACTTAAATATTGAACTGCAAAGACTCTGGCACAAGCCAGTCAAGGTGGTCCCAGTGGTGATCGGCACACTGGGTGCAGTGCCTAAAGACCTTGGCATGCACTTAAACACAATTGGCACTGACAAAATTACCATCTGCCAGCTGCAAATGGCATCCTTACTGGGATCTGCATACATTATTCACCAATACATCACACAGTCCTAGAAACTTGGGAAGTGTCCAACGTGTGATCCAATACAACAGCCAGCAGAGTGTCTGCTGTGGACTCATTTTGTTGTGTTTCTAATAATAATACATCTTTATTTATATCCGGCTTTTCTCTCTAAATTGGATCCAAAGTGGCTTACAACATTATATAAAAAGACTGTAACAGAGAGGTAGGTGTAGGTTTGTTCTTTGATGCCTCAAAATATAGTACCAGGTGTGATGTTTTTTAAATTACAGGAAGGTAGATTATGATTGAATACTGGAGAGAAATTGTTGACAGTAGGAACACTTTGGCAATGGAATCCATTGTTTGTGATGTGGTCTCCTTCTCTGGATGTCTTTTTGAAAATGCTGGACCACACTATGCACTAGCACTGACTGGGAAGCTTAGACTTCAGTGGCCTATGGCACCGCTTTAATTTCTATTTTTGTATCTCTGTGGCTGTTCCTACTTCTGGTTCTGTGCCCCCTCACATGTTACCAATTGGAGCCTTAAGATGACATCTTACAGCCTTGATTATATTAGATGTGAGCCAAGGGTAGGCTCATTGGCCCTTGAATTGGGGCTGAAGTCAAAGACGTAGCCATGCGAAGGTCTGGAGTATCATTATACCAAAGGATCTTGCTCCTTGGAGACTAACTGAGAGAAGGAAGTTGGTAGCATAAGCTTTCATAGACTTCAGTCTATTTCCTCAGATGCATGAGCATGGGATAGTCCCTTATGGACAGACTTTGTGAGTGAATAGCAATAGAAATGCAAAACTTGTGGGTGTGGTGATAAAGTGACAAGATTTCAAGGAGTCTCACAACTCTTTCACACTATATAATGTGTTTACTTACTTAGGCGATCCCTCGTTGTCCGAGTAAGATTGTCTTCCAAGTTTGGTGTCCTGGTGGTGGGTACGTAGGTGACTGTGGAGCCCTATTCTTGATCTGCATGTTCTCCGGCAGTGAGGACATCGGTTTCCAGACGAAAGGCAGTCCCGGTCAGGGTTGGCTTGATGTGCCTTCCTCTTGGCACATTTCTCTCTTTTGTCCTCCATTCATGCCTCTTCAAATTCTACAGCACTGCTGGTGACAGCTGACCTCCAGCTAGAGTGCTCCAGGTCCAGGGCTTCCCAGTTCTCGATGTCTATGCCAGAGTTTTTAAGGTTGGCTTTGAGCCCATCTTTGAATCTCTTTTCTGTCCTCCAACATTTCGTTTTCTATTCTTGAGTTCGGAGTAGAGCAATTGCTTTGAGAGACCGTGATCAGGCATAATGTGCTAATCCAGACTCAACCAATGCTCAACCGAAGCACTAGGTGCTCTTACTGCCTATTACAGGGAAAACCAGCTGATCCCTAATCCATCTATAATACAGACATGTGCCTTCCACCTTAAGAACAGACAAGCATCCTGAACTCTGAGGATTACCTGGGAAGGAATCCCACTGGAGCATTGCAGCGCACCCAAATACCTGGGAGTCACTCTGGACCGTGCTCTGACCTACAAGAAGCACTGCCTGAACATCAAGCAAAAAGTGGTGCTAGAAACAATATCATACGAAAGCTGACTGGCACAACCTGGGGATCACAACCAGACACAGTGAAGACATCTGCTCTTGCGCTATGCTACTCTGCTGCTGAGTATGCATGCCCAGTGTGGAACACATCTCACCATGCTAAAACAGTGGATATGGCTCTTAATGCGACATGCTGCATTATCACGGGGTGTCTGCGTCCTACACCACTGGAGAAACTACACTGTCTAGCCGGTATTGCACCACCTGACATCTGCCGGGAAGTAGCAGCCAATAGTGAAAGGACCAAGGCAGTGACATCTCCAGCTCATCCCTTGTTTGGGTATCAGCCAGCACGTCAACGACTTAAATCAAGAAATAGTTTTCTAAGATCTACAGAGACACTCGCTGGAACACCTCAGCAAGCGAGAGTCCAAAAGTGGCAGGCTCAAACCCAGAACCTCATCAATGGCTGATACCAAATGAGAGACTCCACCCTGGGCACACAGAAAACTGGGTGACTTGGAAGGCGCTGAACAGACTGCGCTCTGGCACCACGAGATGCAGAGCCAACCTTAAGAAATGGGGATACAAAGTGGAATCCACGACATGCGAGTGTGGAGAAGAGCAAACCACTGACTACCTGCTGCAATTCAACCTGAGCCCCACCACAGGCACAATGGAGGACCTCCTTGCGGCAACACCAGAGGAGGCACTCCAAGTGGCCAGCTACTGGTCAAAGGACATTTAATCAACTACTAAGCTTGCAAACTTTGTGTTTTGTCTGTTTGTTTATTTGTTTCATTAAAAATGTAATACAAATGTCTGGTTGCTCCTGACACGATAAATAAATAAATAACCAATGCTTTGTTTCTTTTCTTTCTCTCAACAAACCAGAAAAGGAATCCTAGGTTTATTCTTGCTTTATTACAGCTTGTTGAGAAAGAAATGTTTTTTTTGTCGGAATCGCACATCAAACAAAACTAAGGTATTGGCGATAGGTGGACTCGATAAGGGACTTCTGAAGGGTCCCTTGACTAATGCAATTCTGCAGTTACAGCAACACATTGTAAGATCAAAATTCAGTGGCATGCTATTGAAAATCAGTAGTGCAAAGAGAAATTGCTTTCTTCAAACCCCTTTTCGCCCTTTCCTGCCCACATTGGATAAAAACCCAGACGCCTGCATTGAAAGAAATAATCTGCTTCTTTAAATGGCTTGTCGCACCACATTTACTTTTCAACAGCAGCAAAATGACGTTCTTTACCTTCCAGTGACTAGAAAGCTTTAAATGCCATTGTTGTCGTGTGCTTTCAAGTTGTTTCTGACTTACGGTGACTGTACGATGAACTTATCACGTTGGTAATATTTGTTCAGGGGGACTTTTCCTTTGCCCTCCGCAGAGGCGGGCAACTTGCACAAAGTCATTCAGTGGGGTTTCTATGGCTCAGCAGGAATTCGAACCTTGGTCTCAAGAGCCATAGTCCAACGCCATGTTGGTTATCTTGGTGACATTTGCCTTTTCTTACTCAATCCCACAATTGTGCTTTCTTTTAACCCTTTCCCCACTCCAGCCCCCCTCCCTTTCTATAGGTCTAATCTTCAGCATGCTGGCCATCTACCAAGCCATGTGGAAATGAGTTGGCATCATGGAATCCTAAATTCATGTCTGGTGAGTACAAAAATAAATTGCTTGTCTCAAGGATCCACTTTGATTCCAGGTCTCACCTTTACTGCCATATAGTAGTTACATAATGCAGCTTAACTGCATTGAACTGAATTATATGAGACTACGCTGCCATATAATGCAATTAAACTGCATTATGAAGCTATTGTATGACAGTGTAGATGGAGCCTCAGTTCAACATTTGCGTAAGAATACAGATTGTTTGGGTTTCTTCTTAGGGTGATTCTACATTGGCATTAAATGCAGTTCCAAGCCATTTTGAGGGCAGGGTGTCCCCAAAACACCCACAAAGTGTGCTGTAGTGCGCATCCGTTTAGAAACAGCATGTTAAAAACTCAGAAACTTGAAATAAGTCATAGAATCTGCTGAAGTTGATCACTGTACGTATATCCCACGAAGAGCATGACTCAAAACAGAGGGCAGTTCTACACAGACACTAGCTGGATTTACACTGCCAAATAATGCAAGTAAAGGTAAAGGTAAAGGTTTCCCCTGACATTAAGTCTAGCTATGTTCAAGTCTGGAGGTTGGTACTCATCTCCATTTCTAAACCGAAGAGCCAGCGTTGTCTGTAGGCACCTCCTAGGTCATGTGGCCGGCATGATTGCATGGAGCGCCATTACCTTCCCGCAAAAGTGTTACCTATTGATCTACTCGCATTTTTGAACTGCTAGGTTGGCAGAAGCTGGGGCTAACAGTGAGAGCTCACCCTGGCCCCCGGATTTGAACCGGCAACCTTTTGGTCAGCAAGTTCAGCAGCTCAACTGTTTAACCCACGGCGCCACCAGGGAGCCCAATGTTGACCGTATAATGTGCAGATCCAGCCTCAAAAATTGAGTTAGGAAATGGATTAAAACCAAACCAGTCCTGCTGTGGAGTGCCTACACAATTGCTCCAGGAACTGGTTCAAGGCAGGAATGGTGGCCACAATATCCACTGGTTACTGATCAGAATGAAATGTAGGAACCGTGTACTTAACCCCTGTAAATGGAGGGAGGGGCAGGTTATTAAGGTGCATTAATGCACATATCCATGTCTGTTTGGGATCGGTTTCGAGCCCTGCATGGGATATAATCTGATTGGCTGCAGTATATCATCTGGCTTGTTCCAGATTTTTTTTTATGCACTGCAAGGCTGGGGTGAGAATTGCTGGAAGAAACATTAACAACCTTAGATATGCAGATGACACCACTTTGATGGCCAAAAGCAAGGAGCTGAGGAGCCTTCTAATCAAAGTGAAAGAAGAAAGCGCAAAAGCTGGGTTGCAGTTAAACATAAAAAAACAAGATTATGGCAACAAGAATGATTGACAACTGGGAAATAGAGGGAGAAAACGTGGAGGCAGTGATAGACTTTGTATTTCTAGGTGCAAAGATTACTGCAGACGCAGACTGCAGCCAGGAAATTAGGAGAGACTTATTTCTTGGGAGGAGAGCAATGACCAATCTTGATAAAATAGTGAAGAGTAGAGACATCACACTGGCAAGATCCGCATAGTTAAAGCAATGGTATTCCCCATAGTCACCTACAGATGTGAGAACCGGACCATAGGGAAGGCTGAGCGAAGGAAGATAGATGCTTTTGAACTGTGGTGTTGGAGGAAAGTGCTGAGAGTGCTTTGGACTGCGAGAAGATCCAATCAGTCCATACTTCAAGAAATAAAACCTGACTACTCATTGGAGGGAAGAATAGCAGAGGCCAAGATGAATTACTTTGGCCACATCATGAGAAGACAGGAAAGCTTAGGGAAGGCAATGATGTTGGGGAAAATGGAAGGAAGAAGGAAGAGGGGCCGACCAAGGGCAAGATGGATGATATCCTTGAATTGACTGGATTGACCCTGAAGGAGCTGGGGGTGGTGACGACCAACAGGGAGCTCTGACATGGGCTAGATGATGAAGTCACAAAGAGTTAGAAACGACTGAACGAATGAAAAACAAAAAAAAAATGATTCACTGTTTCCATCTTGATTCATTCTACAGTGTGCACTGGGAGTGTACATTTTGTTGCTATCTCATTTTCCAGCTGGAGTCAAACTGGATTACAGTTTCTGTGTGGAACTTCCAAGAGAAATGCGGAATTCTCACCAGGACAGGGCTAGCGCTGATGCATTTTTAAAACTTGGAAACAAAGCTAGATCTCCATCGTACATGTGATGTTGTTCCCATCCTTTGCCCCCAGAAATAATTTCTTAGAGACAGTCGAAATTATTAAAATTAATTCTTTCCAAACAGTACTGATAAGGAACACACTAGCGCTGAAGGCATGCGTGGACAGCCCAGAGAGAACCATGGCTCTTGATGAAACTTGACCAAAATTATTGAATGTTTGCCTTTACTTGGGCAAACAGAGCGTTAGGAGTTTATAGTCTGAAGTTTCCTAGATCAAGCAAAACATGACTCATTGACTGGCAAGCTGTTTTTAATGAGAAAATGATTAGTTCTCCCCATCTCGGCTTCCTGATTCTTGTAATCCTCATCTAGTTTATAAAAGTTACAAGAGTATAAAAAGTTTAAAGATGTGTTAACTTAGTTTCTGTTTGCATTGAACTCAACTTGGAAGTTAGGATGTTGGATAGGGAGCGAAAACCAATTTCTCATGCAGAAAAATTCCTTTATGGGTTTCTACTCCAGGTAATCCTTGACTCAAGTTCCCATCAGCACAGCCAATAGTCTGGAATGATAGGAGCTGGAGTCCAACAACATCTGGAAACCACTGATCACACATTTCTGTTATATGCTGTGAGCATGAGTTACTTGGAGATGTTCTTCTCTAGGATTTTGTTCACTCACGTCTCTTATGTGATTGAATATTGACTTGATGGGTTTATTTTCCTCCCCTTTTTCCTATTCTTTTTACTATTCTATTTTTCCTGCTATTTCAGTCCAGTCAGTATGATTTTCTGATGTTATGATTTTTCATATAGAAATAATAAAATTAGCTGGAGTTAAACTGGATTACGGTTTCTGTGTGGAATTGCCAAGAGAAATACGGAGTGTCACCAGGACAGGGCTAGTACTGATGTATTTTTAAAACCTGTAAACAAAGCACCAGTGGTGCAGTGGGTTAAAGCGCTGAGCTGCTGAACTTGCTTACTGAAAGGTTGCAGGTTCGAATCTGGGGAGTGGCGTGAGTTCCCGCTGTTAGCTCCAGCTTCTTCCAACCTAGCACTTCAAAAACATGCAAATGTGAGTAGATCAATAGGTACCATTCCGGAGGGAAGGTCACAGCACTCCACGAAGTCATGCTGACCACATGACCTTGGAAGAGTCTATGGAAATACTAGCTCTTCGACTTAGAAATGGAGGTGAGCACCAACCCCCAGAGTCGAACACGACTGGACTTAATGTCAGGGGAAAACTTTTACCTAATAATAAAAATATTATCTGCTTCTCCACACAGTTCGAGGCGGGATACAGCATGGTTAGAACAAAATGATAAAACACAATGTGTCTTACTGTCTATCGACCATCCACATTTCTGAGTTTACCTTTTGCAGATTTAACTATTCAGACATAGATTAATATGATCTCTCTGAAAGTTGTAGAAAGGTGTTCTATCTAGCAATATCTAGGTCTTCCACTGCAAGTCTATCGTCTCTAGAAATCTCTGGATCCTGGCAGGGGTTGACACTAAAATTGCACTAGAAAACCTAAACATTTCTAAAGGAGTGTTCTCTTAGGTAAAAAAATAAAATAAAATAATTAAATTTCATTATTTTCTGATTTTATAGGGGTTCTGCATCTCCTAAACTAATGTTTCTCAACCGGGGGGTCAGGAGCCCTAGGGAGATTGCAAGGCAGGTTTCAGAAGGGTCACCAAAGACCATCAGAAAACACATATTTCTGATGGTCTTAGAAACCCTTTTGGGAGAGAAGGCTGAAGATCTCTCAGCCTGTACTTCTCTTCCTTTTTGGTGCTGGTGAACTACAATGTCCAGAATTAAAAAACAGCGCCCCCCCCCCCCCAAAAAAAAACCCCATCAGTATTCAATGTTGACTATGTAGGTAGTGTGTCAAGTTTGGTGCAGAACCATTGTGGGCTGGGTTCAGAATGCTCTTTGATTGTAAGTGAACTATAAATCCCAGCAACTACAACTTTCAAATGTCAAGGTCTATTTTCCCCAAACTCCACTAGTGTTCACATCTGGGCATACTTAAGTATTCATGCCAAGTTAGGTCCAGATCCATCATTGCTTGAACCCACAGTGCTCTCTGGATGTAGGTGAACTACAACTCCAAAACTCAAGGTCAGTGCCCACCAAACCCTTCCAGTATTTTCTGTTGGTCATGGGGGTCCTGTGTGCCAAGTTTGCCCCAATTCCATCTTTGGTGGAGTTCAGAATGCTCTTTGCTTGTAGGTGAATTATAAATCCCAGCAACTACAACTCCCAAATGACAAAGTCGATTCCCCACTCCACCCCACCAGTATTGAAGTTTGGGTGTATTGGATATTTGTGCTAAATTTGGTCCTGTGAATGAAAATGCATCCTGCATATCAGATTGTTACATTATGATTCATAACAGCAGCAAAATTACAGTTATGAAGTAGCAACAAAAATAATTTTATGGTTGGGGGTCACAGCATGAGGAACTGTATTAAGAGGTCACAGCAGTAGGAAGGTTGAGAACCACTGCCCTAAACATTGTGGAAAGAGGAGGCCTATGATATGCTGTTTCTCCAAGAACCAACATGATGTTGTGGTCTGAACATTGGACTACAACTCCAGAGATCGGAGTCTGAATCCCTGCTTGGCATGAAAACCCACTGGATGATCTTAGGCAAGTCTCACTCTCTCAGCCTCAAAGGGAGACAAATCTAGCCAAGGAAACTCTGACCTTAGGGCTGCCATAACTTTTTATTTATTTATTTATTTACAGTATTTATATTCCATCCTTCTCACCCCACAGGGGACTCGAGGCAGATTACAATGCACATATACATGGCAAACATTCATGAATGCCATTTATGAATGCCAAACATGAATGCCAAACATGAATGCCATTTAGACATTCAACATATATAGATAGGCACAGAGGTGTTTAATATTCCAGCTTTTCCGGCTTCATGAGGGCTTGATTCTGGCCACAGAGGGAGCTGCCGCTTCACTGTCTACTTGTGACACCGAATCCTTTGATGGAGTACTTCCTCATTTTTCTGCATGCTGGTGGAAGGTTTTATGGCATTCTAAATTAGTTAAATTAGCCTCCCCACATAAAGCGGTACCTAAATTTCCTACTTGAAAGATGCAACTGTCTTTCGGGCTGCATAGGACTGTATTGCACTAATTGAATTTGTACCTCAATTATGTTTCTTTCAGCCATATTGTTTTTATATTGCTTTCAATTGTGTTGTTATTTGTTCTATCTGATGTTTTAATTGGTTGAAGTGTTTTACATGTGTGTTTTAATTGTAATCTTAGGCATGTCCCTTGTAAGCTGCCCCGAGTCCCCTAGGGGAGATGGTTGGCGGGGTATAAAAATAAAGTTGTTGTTGTTGTTGTTGTTGTTATTGGTCAACAGCAAGCTAGACTATTAGTGGTCGGGAGCTAACGGTCCAGGAAATGATTTGGAGGTACACAATAGGCAAAAATATTTAATTAATAAGATAAATAAAGATTCAGCCCCTGGTTCCTTCCCACCACATATGAGGTCCCACATTCGACCCCATAGCTAAAATGTGTCTGTACCAAATCTCATGTAGACCTTTGAAAAGTACAGTTGTTGTTGGGGTCCAACTCACGGAATTAATTTCCTCACTAACATTTCTATCACATCAGATGGGACTGATACAACAGGTACACTTTGTGCTTCCACTGTGTGCTTTCAGAAATCAATGGCCGGGGTGTTTCTGAGCTTTGACATGCTTTTCATTTCTCCCTATCCTCCCAGGTCTTCCTTTTGCTGCTATCATTTTCCACATCATCTGAGCCAGGCAAGGGTTGCATCTTTGAAGACGTTCCTATCGATACGAGCAATTTTTCACCTCTAGTTGCAAATCTGGTAAGTGTATTGTACAGAATAGAGTGTGTGCTCTGCATTGTGAGTGGGGACAGAGAGACAGCAAACAAAGAACTTCAGCTTTGGTCAGACCTTATAACCTTTGGGCCAGTTCTGGGCACTAAAACCGAAGGAGGATATTGACAAACTGGAATATGTCCAGAGAAGAGTGACCAACATGGGAAAAGGCTGATGCTTAGCCCTATGAGGAGCAGCTTAAGAAGCTGGGTATCTTTAGCCCGGAAAAGAGAAGCTTGAGAGAGGACATGTTTAAAAATAATGTTTAAATATTTGAAAGGATGTCATATTGAGGAGGGAGCGAGCTTTCTTTTCTGCTATTTATTATTATTTTATTTATCGTATCGTAAGACGGTTGAGCAATGACCCCTCCTCACAAACTAATACCCATGCCAACATAAAGGCAAATCAGATAGCACACCAACTCTTGAAGAATGGGAAACCCAACCTTGCCACCAAAGTAGGAACGAAACCAATAGCCAGACAACCAGATAATGAAAACAACAACCTTCATGAAACCTTTACATCTACTGAATTGGACATGACTCTCAATAAATGTAAAAATGCCAAGCAGCTGGCTTGGATGATCTATGGATGGAACAAATCAAGAACTTTGGTCCAAAAGCAAGGTGCTGGCTCCTGGAGCTGATGAACAACTGCACTACATCCTGTCAGATCCCCAAAATATAGAGGAAAGCAAGAGTCATAGCCAACTTGAAACCAGGTAAAGACCGTAATGATCCAAAAAGCTATAGACCAATCTCTTTGTTATGCCACCTTTACAAAGTTCTGGAGAGATTTATTTTGCATAGAATTATGGAAAAAATAGACCCATGTCTGATTCCACAGCAAGCTGGCTTCAGGAAAGGCAAAAGCTGCACGTCGCAAGTGCTGAACCTGACTCACCACATAGAAGATGGCTTTGAAAGGCAGCAGATCACAAGAGCTGTCTTCATAGACCTGTCAGCAGCCTATGATACTGTAAACCACCGCCTCCTGCTGAGAAAAATGTATAATATCACAAAAGGACTACCACCTCACCCGCCTCATAGGAAACCTGCTACAAAACAGGAGCTTCTTTGTTGAGTTCAGGGCCAGAGAAGCAGATGGCGGAAACAGAAGAACGGCCTGCCTCAGGGGAGCGTGCTTGCTTCATCAATGTTCAACATTTACACAAATGACCAGCCACTGCCAGAAGGGAAAGAGAACTTCATCTATGCTGATGATCGTGCCATTACCAAGCAGGGAGCTTTGAGATGGTTGAACAGAAGCTCTCCGAAGCTCTAGGTGCTCTTACTGCCTATTACAGGGAAAACCAGCTGATCCCTAATCCATCTAAAACACAGACATGTGCTTTTCACCTTAAGAACAGACAAGCATCCCGAGCTCTGAGGATTACCTGGGAAGGAATCCCACTGGAGCATTGCAGCACACCCAAATACCTGGGAGTCACTCTGGACCGTGCTCTGACCTACAAGAAGCACTGCCTGAATATCAAGCAAAAAGTGGGCGCTAGAAACAATATCATACGAAAGCTGACTGGCACAACCTGGGGATCACAACCAGACACAGTGAAGGCATCTGCCCTTGCGCTATGCTACTCTGCTGCTGAGTATGCATGCCCAGTGTGGAACACATCTCACCACACTAAAACAGTGGATGTGGCTCTTAATGAGACATGCCGCATTATCACAGGGTGTCTGCGCCCTACACCACTGGAGAAATTACACTGTTTAGCTGGTATTGCACCACCTGACATCCGCCGGGAAGAAGCAACCAATAGTGAAAGGACCAAGGCAGTGACATCTCCAGCCCATCCTCTGATTCAGTATCAGCCAGCACGCCAACAACTTAAATCAAGAAATAGTTTTCTAAGATCTACAGAGACACTCGCTGGAACACCTCAGTAAGTGAGAGTCCAAAAGTGGCAGGCTCAAACCCAGAACCTCAACCAATGGCTGATACCAAATGAGAGACTCCCTCCTGGGCACACAGAAGACTGGGCGACTTAGAAGATGCTTAACAGACTGCGCTCTGGCACCACGAGATGCAGAGCCAACCTCAAGAAATGGGGCTACAAAGTGGAATCCATGACATGCGAGTGTGGAGAAGAGCAAACCACTGACCACCTGCTGCAATGCAACCTGAGCCCTGCTACATGCACAATGGAGGACCTTCTTGCAGCAACTCCAAGTGGCCAGATACTGGTCAAAGGACATTTAATCAACTACCAAGCTTGCAAACTTTGTGGTTTGTTTGTTTGTTTGTTTGTTAAAATGTAATACAACTGTTTAGTTTGCCCCTGGCACGATAGATAGATAGATGGATGGATGGATGGATGGATGGATGGATGGATGGACGGACGGACGGACGGACGGACGGACGGATAGATTTATCATATCAGGAGCAAACCAGTGTATTTGAGAAAACACAAAGTTTAAAAACTTGGAATTCTATTAAATGTCCTTTGACCAGTAGCTGACCACTTGGAGTGCCTCTGGTGTTTCTATAAGGAGGTCCTCCATTGTGCATGTGGCAGGGCTCAGGCTGCATTGTAATAGTTGGTCTGTGGTTTGCTCTTCTCCACACTCGCATGTTGTGGACCTCACTTTGTAGCCCCATTTCTTAAGGTTGGTGCTGCATATCGTGGTGCCAGTACACCATCTGTCCAGCGCCTTCCAAGTTGCCCGGTCTTCTGTGTGCTCAGGAGGGAGTTTCTCATCTGGTATCAGCCACTGATTGAGGTTCCAGGTTTTAGCCTGCCACTTTTGGACTCTCGCTTGCTGAGGTGTTCCTGCGAGTACTTCTGTAGATCTTAGTAAACTATTTATTGATTTAAGGCATGGCTGATATCCGAGGAGATAGGAGATAGGCTGGAGATGTCACTGCCTTCGTCCTTTCACTGTTGGTTGCTACTTCCCGGCGGATGTCAGTGTAATTTCTAGACAGCATAATTTCTCCAACAATGTAGGACACAGACAGCCTGTGATAATGCTTCATGTCTCATTAAGAGCCACATCCACTGTTTTAGCGTGGTGAGATGTGTTCAACACTGGGCATGCATACTCAGCAGCAGAGTAGCAAAGCACAAGGGCAGACGCCTTCACTGTATTTGGTTGTGATCTCCAGATTGTGCTAGTCAGCTTTCATATGATATTATTTCTAGCACCCAATTTGTTGTTTTCTGCTGCTCTAAAGACTAAGACGCAGAGCACTAGATTAAAATTGCCGGAAAAGAGATTCCCCGGCCTACCTCACCAGTATTGAAATTTGGGCGTATTGGGTATTTGTGCCAAATTTGCTCCAGTGAATGAAAATACATCCTGCATATCAAATATTTACATTACGATTCATAACAGCAGCAAAATTACAGTTATGAAGTAGCAACAAAAATAATGTTATGGTTGTGAGTCACCACAACATGAGGAATTGTATTAAGGGGTCACAGCATTAGGAAGGTTGAGAAACACTGTATTATACAATGAGGCTAATTGTTTGCCCTTTGGTCAGGTCTTTTCACTATTTTGCCTGCTGGCTTTGATCTCTGGGAAGTTAGGTGCAGACTGGAATTTGGACATGCATATTTATCGCTAGATACGCTCCATAGGCTATAGAGTTCAGGGGCCCTGCCACTAGGCTGAACAAACCAGCAATCTCAGGCTGTTGGTTTGGGTGAAAAGAATCATATTTAATTTATCATTACTGCTTGGTTTCTGTATTGGCTAGGGAGATTGTCTGTCTCTTAAGCCATGACAGTACCTAGATTTAGGTTCCGTTTCTTAGGGATTATAATCCTTGATTATTTCATCCTTGCGGGATAAAATATTAAAGAATTCAAAAAGCTAGAGAAAATGGTACTAAAAGCCCAAGTAGAGTCAGCCCTGCAAGTTTGTAGATGTAACTTTCGTTGGGTTGAATTACTTATGGATTGGATCCCTGTTGGTTCTCCTGGATTTCTCTGCAGTCTTCGATACTGTAGATCACAGGATCCTTCTGAGATGCCACATGGGAATGGGTCTGGGAGGTACTGTTTGACAGTGGTTCCAGACCTTCCTGGAGGGTCGTTCTGAGGTGTTGTTGGGGGACACGTGCTCAGCCACGCAACCATTTTCCTGTGGGGTCCCACAGGGCTCAATACTGTCCCCCATGTTGTTTAACATGAAGCTGCTGGGAGAGATCATTTGGAGTTCATTGCCATCTGTATGCAGATGACGTCCAACTCTATCACTCCTTTCCACCTGTTGCTAAGGAGACTGTTCAGGTCCTGAACCGGTGCTTGGCCGCTGTGACGGTCTGGATGAAGGCAAACAAATTGAAATTGAATCCAGACAAGATGGAGATAGTCCTGGTCATACGCAAGGCCAAATAGGGTATAGGGTTACAGCTTGTGTTGGATTGGGCTTACACTACCCCTGAAGATACAGGTTCACAGCTTGGGAGTCCTCCTGGATTCATTGCTGAGCCGGGAACCCCAGGTCTCCGAAGTGGCCAGGGGAGCTTTCTCACAACTAAAACTTGTTTGCTAGTTGTGCCCATACCTTAGGAAGTCTGATTTGGCCACAGTAGACCACACACTTGTTGCATCTCAAATAGACTACTGTAATGCACTCATCGTGGGGCTGCCCTTGAAGACTATTCAAAAGCTTCAAGCTTGGGTTTTATACAGCTGTGTAGAGGGGCTCAAGACTCACTGAAGAAAAGAAGTTTGTGGCATTTTTTCTCAGTCTCTAAAAAAACTACAAGATCCCTTTGTGTACTGACACAGACTTAATAGGGCTAAGTTAGGTAATAAGACCAACCCCCTGTTACATCAGCTCTATTGGCTGCCAATCTGCTACCGAGCACACTTCAAAGTGCTGGTTTAGCCTATAAAGCCATAAACAGTTCTGGCCCGGCTTATTTCTCCAAACATATCTCCCTCTATGAACCACCACAGAGTTTAAGATCATCTGGGGAAGCCCCTATGTTGGTCCCGCCTTCCTTGCAGGCATAATTGGCAGAGATGAGAGACAGGGCCTTCTCAGTGGTGGCCCCTCAGCCATGGAACTCCCTTCCCAGGGATATTAGATCAACGTCCTCCCTCCTGACCTTCCGCAAGAGAGTAAAAATGTTGCTTTGTGACCAAGCCTTTAGAGAACTTGTGCAATAGGTAGACTTGGAACAAAGTGCAATGACCATTTGGAACAGCCTGGATTACAATCGTGGATTACGTGTTTAACTTTGAATGTATGGTTTATAAATGTTTTAATGTACTTTTAAATTCTATTTTAATATTTATTTAAGTGTACATTGTGTTTTAAGGCATCGTATCATTGCCTGTATGTAAAGCTGCCTTGGGGTGAGAAAGGCAGGGTAGAAATGTCATAAATAAATAAGTAAGTTGGAAATTGCTTGAAGGCTCACAACAACTTCAATTGGCACCATTCACAATTGCTTGGAAAATTACATGAATGTTAGAATTATTTGGGTTAAAGCAGCAAGTATTGACATATTTGTTCTGTCTGGAGGAAGAGCAAGTGACTGTTGAATTCAGTGGTTCTCCTTTCAACATGTCTATGCTACAGGCCCCTTCCACACAGCTGAATAAAATCCCACATTATCTGCTTTGAATGGAACATGTGGCAGTGTGGACTCTGATAACCCAGTTCAAAGCAGATATTGTGGGATATTCTGAATGGATATACTGGGTTATATGACTGTGTGGAAGGGCCCTCAGTTGAACCATTCTTCAATCCAATCTCTTTCTCATTCTTTGTCTTCTCATGCTAAACCCAGGCTTTTTTCCCCTCTCCTCCCCCAGAAGAAATTACTGCTCTTGGATTATCCAGTACCGGTGCCAATCAACCTGAAACAGGTAAAGTATTTTTTTAAAAAACTAAATAACATAATGGAATGTATTGTGTCCTTGTAGTCCAGCACACCTGCAAGGCATTACAAATAATACCAAAAGGTCATTGATCCTCCAGAGTCTTATGCACAGTCCAATGTCTTTTGTTTACACTCTTGCCATAAAGTCTAGTACCCAGCTATTTATGTAGATCACTGTTTCTCAACCTGGGGGTCGGGACTCCTGGGTGGGGTCACGAGGGGGTTTCAGTGGGGTCGCCAAATACCATCAGAAAACATATACTTCTGACTAGCTGTCCCCTGCCATGCATTGCTGTGGCCCAGTCTGTGTATATGTGTTTTGTGTGTGTATATATGTCAAGACCCAGAAGCCTCAAGAATGCCAAACACAGTATAAAAGGTCCAAACAAAGGTTTATTAAACACAAAAAATGAATATGTCTCTAATCTGCTTTCGCTGCTGCTCCTCCTCCAACACCTGTACAGCCCTCTTCTCCCTTCTACCAGTAGTAGTAACGTCACTATCACACTGTACTACAACAATATATGTGTATTTGTGTGTGCATATATTTGTCTGTATGTGGTTTTGTGCATGCATTGTGATGTATATTTATTTTTTGGCTTTTTAAGTCTCTTCTGCTGTGTATTTGTGTATATGTGTGTATATATATTTGTGTATATGTGGTTTTGTGCATTCATTGTAATGCATTTTTTTTGTTTTTTGGCTTTTTTAAGTCCCTTCCGTTGTGTTTTTCAGTATTTTTATGAGTGATGGTCACTCCCTGACCTGATAGGTGTATTGTGTCCACATTTGGTGTCAATTTATCCATTAGTTATGTTAATCCTACAAACAAACATTGCATTTTTATTTATATAGATCAGGGGTCCTCAAACTAAGGCCCGAGGGCTGGATACGGCCCTCCAAGGTCATTTACCCGGCCCTCACTCAGGGTCAATCTTTGTCTGAAGCGACTTGAAAGCACACAACAACAACAATCCTATCTCATCAGCCAAAAGCAGGCCCGCAAAGATACAGAATGGTGGATGCCTGGCTTGAGAGCAGTACGTGTGAAAAAGATCTTGGAAGTTAAACATGAGCCAACAATGTGATGTGGCAGCAAAAAAGCCAATGGGATTTTGGCCTGCATCAATAGGAGCATAGTGTCTAGATCTTGGGAAGTCATGCTACCCCTCTATTCCACTTTGGTTAGACCACACCTGGAATATTGTGTCCAATTCTGGGCACCACAATTCAAGAGAGATATTGACAAGCTGGAATGTGTCCAGGGGAGGGTGACTAAAATGATCAAGGGTCTGGAGAACAAGCCCTATGAGGAGCAGCTTAAGGAGCTGGGCATGTTTAGCCTGAAGAAGAGAAGGCTGAGAGGAGATATGATAGCCATGTATAAATATGTGAGAGGAAGCCACAGGGAGGAGGGAGCAAGCTTGTTCTCTGCTTCCCTGGAAACTAGGACACGGAACAATGGCTTCAAACTACAAGAAAGGAGGTTCCATCTGAACATGAGGAAGAACTTCCTGACTGTGAGAGCTGTTCAGCAGTGGAATCTGCCCCAGAGTGTGGTAGGCTCCTTCTTTGGAAGCTTTTAAACAGAGGCTGGATGGCCATCTGTCAGGGGTGCTTTGAATGCAATATTCCTGCTTCTTGGCAGGGAGTTGGACTGGATGGTCCATGAGGTCTCTTCCAACTCTTTGATTCTATGATTCCAATTGAAATACTAATATGTTTATATTTGTTAAAATTGTTCTTCATTTTAATTATTGTATCGTTTTAAGTGTTTTTTGCACTACAAATAAGATATGTGCAGTGTGCATAGGAATTCATTCATTTTTTTTCAAATTATAATCCGGCCCTCCAACAGTTTGAGGGACTGTGATCTGGCCCTCTGTTTAAAAGTTTGAGGACCCCTGACATAGATGGTCTTGGGAATCCCTTTGGCAAAGAAAGCTGAAGATCTCTCTGCCTGTCCTTCTCTTACTTTTTGGAAACATATGGTGAATCCTCCCACCAAAAGCCCTCCTCTGTAATAAGAAATTCAATGTGCAAATTTGATAGATGTGAATTTAATATGATGTGTGGGAATGAATGGAAGAATGGAAGTTGTATGGATGGAGTTAATAATTTTGGAAACACCAGTATAATATTAAGGCCTTCAATGACTAACTACCTGCTTGCTGCTTTGTGATGAAAACCTGCTAATGAGATCTGAAGAGTAAACTCTGATAAGAACGGGATAGTGATAAAGGAAATGTTTGCAACCTTCCTTATGTTAAGAAGGAAGTCAACATAAGATCAACACCAATCAAGAAGATCAACATCTGGCCAGGAAACTGAGATGGATCCAGGATGGAAGATGTCTATCATTAATTTACAACTTTGTCTATCATTATTAATGATATTAATTAATGTCTATCATTATTAATTAATGTCTATCATTTGTCTATCATTATTAATGATATTAATTAATGTCTATCATTATTAATTAATGTCTATCATTAATTTACAACATCAACAGAATTTTCCTATAAAAGACTCAGGCTAATAATGCTCAAATCGTGGCAGACTGAGGAGTCTGTTCCACCCGCCATGCTCTGCTCCATGGGAAGGACAGAGGTGGTGTATTTGGAGAGTGTCAGATATGCTATGGGAAAGCATGATTCTGGACACTTTGGGGCTTCTTTCTCAAGGGAAGAGGAAGAAGTGCGCTTTTGGAGTCTTAGATTTTGTGCAGGGAGTCAGGTTCTGCTGTATGGAAAACAGAGGTCTGGTCCTTGGCACTGTTCTTAGGGAAAGAAGTTTTGGCATCTCAGCGTTTTGAAGTTTTGGCGTTATGGAAGTTATGGAACTATGCATTGGCAGGCTGCAGGAAAGCAGGGTCTGGCCTAACAGGTGCTTCTCCAAGGAGGGAGAAAAGGATATGGTAATATTTGGATGCATGTGGATGAATGCGTGTACATGTGTGTGAATGTTGAGTGAAAATGTAATTCCCCTATGTTTGTTTGTTAACCAATGTAATTGTGAATCCAATGTAGTTGCATAGAATCTGTATGTCTGTATGTCCAATGTCATTCTTTGTCTGAATGTTTTCTGTAATCTTATATACCTTCTCACACTGGAAATTGCAATAAAAAGAACCTATTCTTTAAAATCATTGAAAAGTCATTCATGACACCTCTGCCAAGGGGAGGTCTGTTTCTGATACTTCAAGCAGGGAGGGGAGCAGGTGTGCTCAGCGGATGGCAGTGTGGTGCGCATGTGCGGGTGAGGGAGAGTGTGTGAGGCTCGAGGAAGGCTCATGCTAGGGAAGGGGTTCTATGTGGGAAATTTTGCCCAGTTCTATTGTTGGTGTGGTTCAGAATGCTCTTTAATTGTAGGTGAACTATAAATCCCAGCAACTACAACTCCCAAATGGCAAAATCAATCACCAGGAACTGTATTGAGGGGTCACGGCATTAGGAAGGTTGAGAACCACTGATGTAGATCTTCCCTCTTGTCCCCATCCCATTTCACCTATTTTTCCCAGGACAAATTCTGCAAGGAGTTATGGCAAATTCATCTCATCGACCAAAAACTCAACCACATGATCAATGTATCTGGGAGCACATTGAAGGAAAACATCACAGAGCTAAAATGTCACACAAAATTTGTTAAGGAGTGTGACATTAACGTAAGTCACTTAAAAAGGGGGGGGGGATATAGCTTTATTCAAATACAACTGTATTTTGGAGGCCTTTAAGCAGAGGCTGTAGGGGGTGCTTTGAATGCAATTTTGCTGCTTCTTGGCATGAAATTGGACTAGATGGCCCACAATGTCTCTTCTAACTCTAGGATTTTATTATTCTATTTTTCCAAGTGTGTGTGTTCATGTGCATATGTCAATTTATGACCACCACATTAATTTTGTAGGGTTTTCTTAGGCAAGCAATGCTCAGAGGTGGTGTTGCCAGTTCCTTCCTCTGAAATATAGCCTATAGTTTAACAGGGGCGGCAGCAACTAAGTTTAGCTCCCAAAACTCAGAAAATTTCAACTAAGAAGAAATGTGCTTGTGTAGGAAACAACTAGAGGTTCCTTCCAGCCTGTGGAAATTGTGGAAAACAGCTTCCTAAATTCAGAACATACTCAGACACAGTTATAGAACTTGGATACCCCTAATTTTTCTGATTCTATTCTAAGGAATCCCATCATTTGCAGTTTGGTGATGTAATTGGAATTCCCTGCTAGGCAGCTTTTACTCAACTCCTGAAAAATTCAGCACTAGAGCACTATTGCAGAGAACCAAAGAATACCAAACTACAAATCCCATGATTCCAAGGCACAGTTCTATGGTATTGTACTACACTGCTGTAACAGTGTAGTACAAATTCACTCCAAATGGATCTGGCAGGTGGGTTTGGAGGATTGTAACAATAGAGAATATGTGTTGTCGAAGGCTTTCATGGCCGGAATCACTGGTTTGCTGTGAGTTTTCCGAGCTGTATGGCTATGCTCCAGCAGCATTCTCTCCTGACTTTTCAGGTGGGAGAAAGAACTCTTGTCTTTTGGAGGCAAGTGTGAATGTTGCTGTTGGCCACCTTGATTAGCACTGAATAGCCTTGCAGCTTCAAAGCATGCATGCTTCCTGCCTGGGGGGAATCATTTGTTGGGACGTGTGAGCTGTCCCTAAGTGTTTCCTGTCAGGAATACCCATTTTTTGAGAGATCTTCTTTATTTACTGTCCTGATTTTAAAGTTTTTTTTTAATACTGGTAGCCATAGCAGAGACCTGATGAACCAACCTGGACACAGCATGTTATTTGAGAACACAGAAATGCTGGGCCACTTATCAACCACCATGTCAGACTATACAGAGAAGCCATTGAAATCTGCAAGCATGTGAACAATTTCAACAGAAAGGAGAAAACCATGGAAATGAAAAAAATCTGGCTACCAGTATTAAAAAACTCAAAAATTAGGACAGTAAATAAAGAATAATACTCAGAAAACAGGGGAATTTTAGACAGGAAACAATCAGGGTGAGCTAACACCTCCCAACAAAGGATTCCCCCAGGAAGCAGCCAGGTCTTGAAGCTGCAAGTCTACTCAAAGCTAATGAAGGTGGCCAACTGCAACACTCACAGTTGCCTCCAACAGACAAGCGTTCTTTCTCCCACCTTGAACATTCCACAGATGTATAAACCCTACTTGCCTAGTTTCCAACAGGCCTCACTTAAAAGACAAATACTGTGGAATGTATAATACATTATTGTCGAAGGCTTTCATGGCCAGAATCATTGATTTTCTGTCAATTTTCCAGGCTATATGGCATGTTCCAGAAGTACTCTCTCCTGACGTTTCACCCACATCTATGGCAGGCATCCTCAGAAGTTGTGAGATTTGTTGGAAACTGCTGGCCAGTTGCAATATTCACACCTGCCGCAAACAAACACGAGTTCTTTCTCCCACCCTGGATGTTTCAGAGATAGATAAACCCCACTTACAAAATATTAGGCTTCTCTGCTAGTGCCTCAACAGATTACAAATCCCAGGAATTCATAGTATAAAGCAATGGCAGTTAAAGTGGTGTCAAAACACATTAATTCTCAAAAATGCAGGGGAATTCCAGATAAGAATAAATCAGAGCCAGCTAACACCTCCCAACAAAGGATCCCCCAAGCAGGAAGCAGCCAGGCTTTGAAGCTGCAAGGCCATTCAGTGCTAATCAAGGTGACCAATTACAACATTCACACTTGCCTCAAGCAGACAAGAGTTCTTTCTCTCACCCTGAACTTTTCACAGATATATAAACCTCACTTGCCTATTTTCCAACAGACCTCGCAACCTCTGAGGATGTCTGACATAGATGTAGGCAAAACATCAGGAGAAAATGCTTCTGGAATATGGCCATACAGCCAGGAAAACTCGCTGCAACCCATAGAAAATATGAGTCGGCATAGTACAATATTTCTGAGATCCTGAGAAACCAGGGTTCAAATCTCTCCTTGATGATAAAAACTTTTAAAAGTTTGCTTTAGGATCACTATGAGTCAAAGTTGACTTGAAGGCACATAGCAATACCCAGAACAGGTACTGTTTCACTCCTGTCCTGTTTGTGGGCTTCCTAAAGATAATTGGTCTAGATAGGACTCAAGTCTGATCCTCTTCTTTAATTAATTCCTATGTTCATGACATAAGGTAAATTAGACAAGCCTAAAATGTGCCAGTCGTAAGGCCCAGTCAAACCTGTTTTTCCTCCCCTCTTGGTTCTTACAGGACAGTTGTGCTAAATTCATCACGACCAACATCTCCGAGTTCCTTGAGCCCATCCCCTCCTATCTCAGCGACCTGAGAGATAAGATGGATAAATATATAGATGAAGGTGTTCCTTTGAACTTCAGCAATTGCACCATTATTCATTGCCAGCCAGGTAACTCTCATGCCCAGGTGATGGGTTCTGTGTGTAAACATGTTTGCATGTGTTAGAGAGGACCTGAAATTTTATTTTTGAGCAGAAGCTTGTCATAGCGTGCAGACAATGATCCTACGATCTTCTACAAGGGTGGGCAATGAGGGGGGGGGATTCAGGGACCACATTGGTCAACAGATAAGTAGCTTACTTAAGCTCAGTTAGTAAATATGTAGCTGAGGTCTGATTTGAACGCAATGCATGCTTTTCTGCAATTACCAAAGCGCTGCATTCCTACCCCAGCTCTCAAAGGCATCTCATTGTGTGTATTATTTCAATTTCCTCTGCTCTCCATCCCATCTCCTTGCTACTAGAAAGTGTTCAATCTGCTCCTATAGGTCAGTCTTTCTCTGTACTACAGAGCTGTCTCCCCCTCCAGCCCTCCAAGTCACGGCACCAAAGCAAACACCAGATCACGACTCCCAACACGACGACGCCTTCAGAAAATCCCATTGGGTGCTGCTTGCAGTTCTAGTTTTCATGCTTGTTGTTCTCCTGATTTTGATACTTCTGCAAAAAAGATCACGGGAGGTAAGCAGCAGCAAAAGCAATAATAGCAAAAACCTTTCATAAAAGCATGCATGCTGTCTATATGTAAAACGTTTGATCCTAAATATCTTGAATGAAAGGAACTAACTTCAGAGGTCAGGAAAGACCTTTCTCACAAAGGACAGAGTCAAAATAATGGGTTAGACCAGCCATGGTCAAACTTTGGCCCTCCGGGTGTTAGAATTCTCAGCAAGAGATCTCTAGTGCCTCGCTAGACTACAAATCCCATGATCATTGAAGTGGAGTCAAAGTATTGTACTGCAGGAGTTTGATTAAGTTGGCTTCCTATATAGAGATATTGGAAGCTGCTTTGCTTGGGACTTGGAAAAGTTACTTTTTTATGGCTGGCTGGAAGATTCTGAGACATATAGACCCAAAGGTAATGTTCCCAAACTCTTGCTTAGTCAAACTTGGGCTTTCCAGGTGTTTTGGACTTCAGCTCCCACCATTCCGCTTAAGCAGCTGAGGGGGAAAAATAAGGGGCCTGAGCTGTTAGGAATGGTGGGAGTTAAAGTCCAAAACACCTGGAAAGCCCAAGTTTGCCCGTGCTTGGGTTAGACATAGGGACCACTTCAATGATCATGGGATTTGTAGTCTAGTGAGGCACTAGAGATCTCTCACTGAGAATTCTAAGCGCCCGTCTTAAACTGCAAATCCCAAGAAGCATGGGATTTGCAGTCATGGCAGTTAAAGTGGAATCAATCGAGTACAGTCAGCCCTCCATATCTGTGGGTTTCGCTTTTACAGATTTGATTATTTAAATGATTAAGATGTCCTTTTTAAGACTATTTATTTATTAACAGTATTTATATTCCACCCCTCTCACCCCAAAGGAGACTCAGGGCGGATCACAATGTGCACATACATGGCAAACATTCAATGCTCTTTTTAGACAGACAGACAGATAGAGATATTTTGGCATTTCCAACTTGGGCGCCTGGAGGTTATGCTCAATTCCGGCCACAGGGGGTGCTGTTGCTTCATCCACCATGATGCCAAGTCTTTTTGATCGTATTTCCTCCTTGTTCTCTGATTGCCAGCATTTTTATGGTGTTGTAAAATACCTCACCACTTTAAACGGTCCCCAATTTCTCTACTCTCACAGCTCAGCTGTATTTGAACTGCTTAGGTGGACAGTAAGCTGCATGATGCATGGGATTATTGATGCATGGGATTATTATTGGTGGCCCAATAATTTGTGTTGTAAATGTGTTTCATGTTTTTAAAATGGTATTGTTTTTTAATTGTTGTAAACCGCAATGAGTCGCCAACTTAGGCTGAGATATTAGCGGTATACAAGTCTATAAATAAATAAATAATAATAAATAAGCTAGGCTTAACAGTCAGGTGCTCAATCTGACTCGGGTTTCAAACTTGCCACCTTCTAGTCGGCAGTGATCTATTGCTGCTGGTGATTAACCAGCTGTGCTACAGCCCAGCCCTAGGTCATCCAATGCAGTATCTGCCAGAAGTTCACCATACAATCTTGCTGGAGGACCTGGGGGTTCCTAGAGAGTGGTTCTCTCAAGTAAAAAGGGGGAAATATTTTAATGATGGCTTTTAATTTTTGCTGAGGTCCTGTGCTCCTAATCCCAACAAATGTGTTAGACTGAATATAGAGCAAAAAGGCTTTTCCTCTGTCATTTCAGCTAAAATAATTTTGGCTCCTTTATTTCTTTCCCCAGAGATCTCAGAGGTATGAGGAAAGAGAACTTGAACTTATGGAGGTCTGAACATGAACTGATGTTGCTGTGGTAAGGCTTTCCAGAGTTTCTGTAAGATATGATGTTCAATGAATATATCTACAGGTTTTTCCAGAGGTCCATAGACCACACCCCACTGATAGAAGAGCATAGCCAATAATAATAACAACAGCAGCAGCAGCAAGAACAACAACTCTGGCACAAGCCAGTAAAGGTGATCCCAGTGGTGATCGGCACAATGGGTGCAGTACCTAAAGACCTTGGCCTGCACTTGAAAACAAATGGCGCTGGCAAAATTACCATTTCTGCTGCAAAATGCCACCCTACTCAGATCGGTGGCACAGTGGGTTAAACCGCTGAGCTGTTGAGTTTGTTGACTGAAAGTTGCAGGTTTGAATCCAGGGAGTGGCATGAGCTCCTGCTGTTAGCCCCAGCTTCTGCCAACCTAGCAGTTTGAAAACATGCAAATGTGAGTACATCAACAAAAACAAACCAGATCTCTAACTGAGAGATTTATAGAGAGAGTTTGCTTAAAGAGAAACGAAGGACAACTTTCTTTCTCCTTTTATGACTTCTCAAGTTGGAGGTGATACATGGAGAGAGAGGCTTTGTTTGAGATGAAACAGTAACTCAGTTTATTTGTGGCATTCTTGTGGCATAAGCGTAGTGGTTACAAAGGATCAAATGCTTGCTGATTACAGAACAATGTTTCAATATGAGTTTCATTCAATCTCCAAAAGGACTGTTATACTAATACATAAAACAGATTCAAACTCTCTTTAACTTGTTTCTCTATCTAAATTTTCAGCTGCTTCTCAGCTACCGTCTTCCCGCACTCTCCCTCACTGACCAACAACCATAGACTGTTCAGTTGGACTTCTCCAACTCGTAACTACTCCACATTGGAGAGTAAACACCTGGCTCACTACAGCCTTTCCCTTCCTGACTACCTGTCAGAAGCCTAAACTTTTTGGTCTAGTCCAGTGGTTCTCAACCTGTGGGTCCCCAGATGTTTTGGCCTTCAACTCCCAGAAATCCTAACAGGTGGTAAACTGGCTGGGATTTCTGGGAATTGTAGGCCAAAACACCTGGGAACCCACAAATTGAGAACCACTGGTCTAGTCCCACCTCCTTAGGATGATCATCCTTAAACTCATCCAGTGACCAACTGACCCTTTTTTAAACGAACATTCTTTTTTTCCAGTGACAGTTGGCTCCGCCCCTTTTCTTCTGCCTGGAGACTATGTTGCTATGGCAACGCCTGGGGCTTCTGGCTACCTCTCATCTAATATTAATAAACATATCTAAAACTTACACTTTAATTGGGCATTTCGTTACAGTACTGTTCCAGCAGGAAGCTAACAGCACTCCATACAGTCATGCCGGCCACATGACCTTGGAGGTGTCTACGGACAATGCCGGCTCTTTGGCTTAGAAATGGAGATGAGCACCAACCCCTCAGAGTTGGATAACTAGACTTAATGTCAGGAGGAAATCTTTACCTTTTTGCTCAGATCTTCACACGTTATTCGCCGATCCATCACACAGTCCTAGACACTTGGGAAGTGTCCGGCATGTGATCAAATACAAAGTCAGCATAATTATCTTGTTTGTTGTATACTATTCTTGTTATGTATCTAATAATAATAAACTATTGTTGTTATATCCTGCCCCTTTCTACTGGGTTTTTAACTCTTCCCAGGAAGATCATACTTTACAAAAGATTACAATCTCTAACAAGGTCATGCCTTTCCATAAGGTTATGATTATTCCAAATAGTGTGAATGCCAATTAATCTCCAAAAGGATCACGCTTCCAAAAGCCTGTGGAGATTCCCGGTTTTCCCAAAAGGTTATGAATGCCATTTTCCAAAATCCTCTACATGAAAAACACATTCCCTCGAGCACCACTCTACAGTCAATGTCTGGTGGAAATAGACCACAATATTACACTGAAGCACAAGGGATTCCTAGCTAGATTTTTAAAATAGCATTTATATTTGTGATTTCCCCCCCCCCCCACACACACACACACACGCACACTTTTGCAGGGGATTTGTATCCCTAACTCCAGGAAATGTAGAAGGCTGACTGTATGTATTTTATGCAACATCCTTACTCCTCTGTTCTCTTCCTATCCCTAACCAACCAATCCTGTCTTAGCATTCGCTTTTTTTTCTTTTTCAGGATGTCATCTTCAGAGGCAAGATGGGACAATCACCACCAGCAACAAAGTCCAAACCTGCAGAACACAAAGACCGGAGATGGGGAAAAAGACAATTACAGAATATATTCTCAAGATCCAAGGACTTCTGTTCTGCATCCTGCCACTAGGAGACGCTGTGCCTCCATTTTTATATTGTATATCTCTATGAGAAATTTGTAATATATACATGTACATATTATATATATAGATATATTATTTTGTATAAATCAAACAAGAAATCTTTAGTAGTTCTGTGTGAAAGTGGCATTACACGAAAGTTGTGCCAAAAGGTTAAGCGGCTGAGGGGGGAAACAAACAGGCCTGAGGCCAAGAATTGTGGGAGGTGAAGTCCAAAACACCCGGAGGGCCAAAGTTTGCCCATGCCTGGACTAGATAGTCCTTGGGGTGCCTGCCAGCTATGTGATTTCATGCATCGAAGAAGGTAGCAGCCCTGAAGTCCCAATCTGAATTTGGGAAGGAGAAATGTGTGACCATCAAAAAAGTGTTATAAGTTGCCATGGCACTAAGAGTTCAGGGTGGCATTTTCTGAATTGCAGCTGGATTATTTTGCTGGTCTAGACCAGGGGTTTTTAAACTTTTCCACTTGTGACCCCTTTTGGCCCAATTAATTTTTTTACATAAAATGATATAATTATAGTGATAGGTATGAGATGAAATAGGTGCAAAAACATTTATTGATAGCAAAACAGCAATTGCAAGGTTTGTGACCAATTTTCATTTTTATGTAGTACGGCTGAAGGATTTTCCGCAGATTCCACTGTAAACATTACACAACGGGTTTGTGTAAGTTCCTATAAGTGGTCACTGTGCAACATACAGAAACCCTTTTACTGTTACCAATTTTTCAGGATCCCAACATCGAGCTAAGGGGACTGTATTGGGGGTCAGGGCCCACAGTTTAAGAAGCCATGGTGTAGACACCCCTCAAGAACATTTTAATGCAGTTATCATTGGGAAATTAAACTCCCACAATGGGAACATTTTATAGAAACTCCTCAAACCAGCTTGAGGCCCAAATGGAAGTTGCACAAACCAGAGAGCATTAATGCATATTAAGAGCTTTCTTTCACATGGCTTTGTGGGGTTTTGTTGTCTGGCTGCTACAATTAAAGCTAGCGTTGAAATGCATTACATGGTAAGTATAGATGAGGGTTGATGCTGTGTTGTCGAAGACTTTCATGGCCAGAATCACTGGGTTGCCATGAAATTTCTGGGCTGTATGGCCATTTTCCAGAAGCATTCTCTCCTGACGTTTTGCTCACATCTATAGCAGACATCTTTAGAGTTTGAGACCTGTCACACTCGGAGGATGACTGTCATAGATGTGGGTGGAACGTCAGGAGAGAATGCTTCTGGAACATGGCCATACAGCCCAGAAAGCTCACAGCAAACCAGAGATCTATATTTTTCCCTCTCTGCCTCTTAATATTTTGAACTGTAAATTAGTTATCTTCCCATTGAGCGCAGAGTTCTGTGCAACACTGAAGCTTACTCATACTTGCATTGGTCATATTTGCCAACTTAACCTCTCTTCCTATATGTGGACCTCTGCCTCTTTAATGAAGGCCCTATCTACACTGCCATATAATGCAATTTGAAGTTGCATTATGTGGTTAGTGTAGATTCATATAATGCAGTTTAACTTCACTGAACTGTTTTATATAAGTCTGTGCTGACCATATAATGACTGTATTATATAAAAATGTTAGATGATGCCAAGTGGCAACTTTTGTAGATGTATAGCAGGCATGGGCAAACTTCGGCCCTCCAGGTGTTTTGGACTTCAATTCCTAACAGTGGTAGGCTGTTAGGAATTGTAAGAGTTGAAGTCCAAAATACCTGGAGGGCCTAAGTTTGCCCATGCCTGGACTAGATAGTCCTTGGGGTGCCTTCAGGAGCAAAGGTGATAATGATTAAAGCAATTCAAGTGGAATTGCCCCACTTCCCAAAGCTGGATCCATGCTTTAGTGCAGGCATGGGCAAAATTCAGTCTTCCAGATGTTTTGGACTTCAACTCCCATCAGCCAGTAGATGGTTATGAATTGTGAGATTTGAAATCCAAAACCACTTGGAGGGCCAAAGTTTGCCCATGCCTGGTGTATGGTGAGACTTGGAAGGAGAGTTAAAATCTGCAGTTTTTGTACTTATGGAAGTGTAAAACAACAAATGCTGACGTTTTTGAAATGGTAGTAAATCTCTCTGGACAGATGGCATTTTGCGAAAAGATTTCCCCGCCAGCTTTGCATGCGAAACCTCAGAAGGGCCAGGTCTCCTTCGTCATGGGGGCTTGCTCCGAACTGCCACCTCTGATGACTTTATTTCTCTTATTTCGTTATCTCACCCTGTGCCCGCTGATTAAACGCAGCCGTCTGCTGTGCCCTAAGTTAGGGGCATTATCTTCATGCTCATTTATCCTGTATGCTGCATGCTTCTGCTCCTTTTTCCTGGTCCATAATCTTCCTTTACCTCCTGCGTTTTCCACTCTCTACCCCCCTCTCCCTCTTGCAACCACACTTGTCCTTTGACGTCGTCCAGTGACAGGGACACTAAGCTGCCGGAGTCTCCCCCTTTGCGGCTGGCCTTCTTCAGATCCCCCTTCGCCTCCGGCTGAGACACACCATCCCCCCTCCCTACTTGGGGTAAGGAGACAAGGATGGGAAAGATACTCTTAATGCATGAAATATAGGGTGCAGCTTGGGGGTTTGGGCACTGCTGGACTCAACTCACAGCCTGGTCCTTTCAAGGGCTGACCCTTTGTGGACCAAGAATGTCTTGGTTGGCGTCCAGAGGTTATACGGGCACTTCTCCTCTAGAGCAGTAGTTCTTAACCTGTGGGTCCCCAAGTGTTTTGGCCTACAGCTCCCAGAAATCCCAGACAGTTTTCCAGCTGTTAGGATTTCTGGGAGTTGAAGGCCAAAATATCTGGGGAACCACAGGTTAATAACCACTGCTCTAGAGGGTGCCACTCCATTTACAGGACACAATAGTTCCTGGAGAGAAAAGGGGGTGATGGGTGTTCTTGGTATGGGAAAGCAGGGGATGGAGACTTGAGATACGAAGTTGACCTATCATGCATGCTTTTACTCTTGATGTGTTGTGTGCCTATGTCAGTGTGCTTCATAGAGTAACAGCTCTTTGTACGGTTGCCTCTTCTTAAACTCTTGCCAGCTAGTTGTTTATGAATTTATCCTATGCAGATTTTCCTTGAGAGTCACTGCAACTTAAATCAGACATGTTAAAGATTGCAGTTTATTTATTTATCGTGTCAGAATCAAATTGAGAATACAGTTATAATGTGTAGAAAAACCACAAACAAAATTAAAAACCTAGGCATTATACTAAATTTCCTTTGACTGGTAGCTGACCACTTGGAGTGCCTCTGGTGTCATTATAAGGTCCTCCATTGTGCATGTGGCAGGGCTCAGACCACATCATAGTACATGGTCTGCAGTTTGCCCTTCTCCACACTCGCATGTCGTGGGCTCTACTTTACGGCCCCATTTCTTAGGGTTGGCTCTGCATCTCGTGGTGCCAGAGTACAGTCTGTTCAGCACCTTCCAAGTCTCCTGTGTGCCCAGGAGGGAGTCTCTCATCTGGTATCAGCCATGGTTTAAGGTTCCAATTTTTAGCTTTTCACTTTTGGACTCTTGCTTGCTGAGGGGTTTCTGCGAGTATCTCTGTTTCTTGATTTAAGGCATTGGCACAATGGCTGGTATCCGAACAGCGGATGGGCCAGAGATGTCAATGCCTTGGTCCTTTCATTATTGGCTGCTACATCAGGTGGCAAAACAGTATAATTTCTCCAGTGGTGTGGGGCGTAGACATTCTATGATAATGCACCATCTCATTAAGAGCCACATCCACTATTTGAATGAGGTGAGATATATTCCACACTGGGCATGCGTATTCAGCAGCAGAGTAGCAAAACGCAAGGCCAGATGGCTTTACTGTATCTGGCTGTGATCCCCAGGTTGTGCCCAGTCAAATTTAGTATGATATTATTTTTTATTTTGTATGATACTATTATATGCATTTAATGATGCAAGTTAGAGAAAGGAACTCTCACTAGTAATCTAGATCCTCCAGGATAACTGGAGAAAGTTGACTAAAGAATCATACAGGTGAACCCAGGGATTCCTAGAGAGAACATATTTGATCAAATCTGTGAATTTGATTAAAGCCAAAACTGCAAATGTGGAGAAACTATTGTACCTGTTCTATAAGCAAAGAAGAAATTTAGGGTCAGCTGTGTTTCTCAAGCCCCATCTTCACTGCCATATAAATCCAGATTATCTGCTTTGAATTGGATTATATGAGCCTACACTGCCATATAATCCAGTTCAAAGCAAATAATCTGGATTTTATATGGCGGTATAGAAGTGTAAGAGCGCATCTACACTGGATAATTAATGCATTTTCACACCACTTTAAGTGCTACTGCCTAATAGTATGGAATCCTAGGAGGAATAGTTTGGTGAGGCACCAGCACACTCTGGCAGAGGGGGCTAAAGACCTTTAAAACTACAACTCCCATGATTCTGTAACCATAGCAGTTCAGGTGATTTGTGTGTGTGTGTGTCAGGAGCAACTTGACAAACTGCAAGTCTCTTCTGGTGTGAGAGAATTGGCTGTCTGCAAGGACATTGCCCAGGGGATGCCCTGATGGTTTGATGTTTTACCATCCTTGTGGGAGGCTTCTCTCACATCCCCTTATGGGGAGCTGGAGCTGACAGAGGGAGCTCATCCGTGCTCTCACCGGTTTCGAACCTGTGACCAGCAAGATGTGGCTGAGATTAGGATGTAACTCTATATACAAAAAGGAACTCAAGCCATTTAACAGAGCTTGAATGTACCCCATACAATATTATAGCAATCCACTAGATTAAGGACTAGATCAGGCATGGCCAAACTTGGGCCCTCCAGGTGTTTTGGACTCCAACTCCCACAATTCCTTATGGCTGAGGGGGGAAAGGAAGGGGCCTGAGGCTGTTAGGAATTGTGGGAGTTGGAGTCCAAACATCTGGAGGGC